CTGTTCAACAAAGTATATACAACAGGAGTACTACCCGAAGATTGGTTGCTCTCCACGTTTGTAACACTACCAAAGTCAGTACATGCGACAGAATGCTCCCAATACACAATGATTTCCTTAATAAGCCACACACTTAAAATATTTTTCAAAATAATACATCGAAGACTATACAAAAAAATTGAAGAAGATATAGATGACACCCAGTTTGGATTCAGAGGAGGACTAGGAACGAGAGTGGCTCTGTTCGCTTTAAACGTTCTCATGCAAGGACGACTTGGTATGAAGCAGGATCTCTATGTCTGATTTATAGGTTATCAAAAGGCTTTTAATAGTGTACCACATCAAAAAAGGAATAAGACTGTTAAAAGAAAAGAATGTGGATAGTCGAGATATTAAGACTCATAATGCAAGATAAAATCAGGGGTAAAAGATCCATAGAAGACGAACAATTTCCTGGCTAAGAAACCTAAAAGAGTGGTATCGTTGCAGCTAAGTAGATCTTTTCAGAGCAGCCGCCAATAAGGTATGGATTGCTATGATGATAGCCAACCTCCGATAGGAGAAGGAACTACAAGAAGGAGCTGGTGTAAAAAAACTAAGCAATACTGATTTAAAGAGATGTGGGTATTTTATGGCACAGGAATCCCAACCTATCCGGCATGTATGGGATATAAACGTTTTCTGTTTTTCCTTGGAGTACTTAGGTTCGATAACAAAACAAGTCGTGAAGAACGGAAACAGACAGATAAATTAACGGAGGGCGAGAAATTACAGAAAAATCTACAGGCAAATGTCGGAAAAATTTCTGCCCAGGTGAACGTATTATAACTGACGAAATGTTAGTCCCATACCGTGGTCGTTGTAGTTTTTGCAAAAATATTTGCATTGTATAATTCAAAGATGTTTTATGTCTCAAATTTATAAATTTAGTGTGGCAAGCAGCCAGAAGAAAGATATAATCTACCAAACATTGTAACAGATATTGTACTCAGATTGATCGAGCCCTTCAAAAAGTTTTAAAAGAAACGTTACCACAGATAAGTGGTACACCATTTGTCCTTTGTCTCAAGAGCTTTTCATAAAAAAAAAGTAAAAAAGAAATCCCATCGTAATTAAAACCAAGCAAAACTAGAACTATACACTTCTTAATTTTTGCATTTTAGTAAGAAACCACCCTTGTATCCTACAGTGGAAAAAGGAATAAGGCTGTCATATTACTTTTACGTAGCACGCTGATGATTCTGTAGATGAGAAGTTAGACAAACCAGTCATATTACTATTCTATAATGAAACTAAAGGGAGAATCGATGTTGTCGACCAAATGTGCAGCAATTACACTGTCCAAAGACGAACTAGGCGGTGGCCATTCGTCGTATTTATCAGCTTATAAATATTGCAAGAATAAATTCCAATATTTTATTTAACACCACCAATTGCGATAAGGACTTAAGTCAGAGACATTTCTTACAAAATTTAGTGGTTTCTCTAAAGCAAACCTATCTGTTGGCATCAAAAGTTACCTAGCTCCATATAAGACTTCCGAGATTGAGACTCCAAAACTACCCGAAAAAACAAGAGGAAGGTGTACCCAGTGCGGTCGAAAAAAAAAAAAAATAGAGCAACTACAATAAAGTGCCAAAGATGCAGTAAACTAGCATGTGAAGAGCATTTGATCACCACACACATTTGTTTAAAATGCCAGCATCATAAAAATCAAACACAAACTCCTTTGTGTTTCTTTTTTGTATCTTTTTATGTTTATCTAAAATTTTTTAAAATTTTTGTATTTTATACTTTATTATTTTTTTATATAAAATATGTATTTATTTATTCCTATGTATTTATGAAATGTAGAGTGTTATCTTAAATACCTCCTTATTTTTGTCTGGCGTACAAAGTACCACTTTCTCAGGTTTTGAAGCCAAGATATTCTTCTTCTCCCTGGTCCTTTCTTTCCAAATACCTTGTCCTGAAGAATGAGTTGCAACAAGCCGTATCTCTGTTCAGTCCTCATAACATGGCCAAGATATTCTAGTTTGTGCTCTTTGATGGTGATAATAATTTCGCATTCTTTGTCTATTCTACGTAGGACCTCAACATTAGTCACACGATCCACCCATGAAATTCTTAAGATACGTCTGTAACACCACATCTCTAATGCCTCGAGTTTTCCTAAGGAAGCTTCGGATTGGACAATATACGCTATTATTATTAAAGTACGCCAAGCGATAACTTAAGGGTTATTTAGTCGATAAAATCACTTAACAGAATTAAACAACGAATGAAAAGAATAATGAAAAAAAAAAACATGTTCGGGGATTCGGATAATATAATAACAACATGCCGTCTGCTTAAATGCGATATATTTACAGTTCTGCTCTACAAAATAGCACCATAAACATGATGATAGCCGTCATCTCTGGAATGGATAGGATAAGAAGAAGAAGAAACACTTGGAAAATGACAAATCAAAAAGAAGAAAACAAGTGGGACGTCCCTAAGATGGAGCTTAGTCTGATGGCGGAGCAGGCCACAAATTCTTAATCCATAATATAAAGAAGAGGAAGAATGACAAAATTTGCGGTTCATTCATTGCGGTTTCATCGAATTCATTCTCAGATAGTTAGAGACGATTATACACGTTGGCAAATTTGTATTATAAATTCTGTTCTTCCAACACAAAACTGACTAAGACTCTAATTGTTCCAAATCGATATTTTCAGTTTGTCATTTGTAGGATCATTAATTCTTTTATTATTGATATGCAATCGTCAATAATGGAAATAAAATATTAAAACAAAATCAATATTTTTTGCCGAAGGTATGTTTAAAAACGACGATCGATAATTATTAACCCAGTTATAATAAAGTTATTATTTATAATAGTTTTTTCATTGAATTCGATTATATGTCCAAACGTAACTCCTAGTTGTAGACTCTAATTGAGATGATTAATATAGTGGCTTAATGTAATGGGAGTAGCTAGACTACAAATCTATGGGCGAAAACGCAAAACGTATATTAACGCGTTGACTGAGAAGTAGAAATGCGACACAGTTTATTTACTTATCCAGACCGCCATCAATTTTGTACAGCTACGACAAAGGTCATAGAATACCAATGTAAATATGAATACAAATATGAGGTAGAAAAAAAAACGGGACTGAATCACTAATGAAATCTTTAATTTTATTAGTAAATTTACTTTTACGTTTTAAACATTTAACGTCCTTGTTATTCCCCTAGGTCTTCATATCCACTTATAATGATTAGTAAAATAGTATGCTAAACGAAGCCAAATGTCAAATATGACCGGAAAATATCAAATTGTAGATGAAAAAATTATAAAGAATAATTTTTGATAATAAAAAATCGAAATAAGAATTTATTTTGTTCAAAAAAGTTTATGTAAATTATCTATAGTCCGTCCCAAACCCTTCTTTCAGTGCGTCATAGTTGTTCGAATTCTCTCTAACGCATTAAGCTAGAAGTGACAGAAAAAACGTAAGTCTGTGATTATTATACACAGAACTTAGAACATTAGGTATCGTTCACGGGTATTAGCATATTAAAGCGAATTCTACTTACGGATGTATAATTGGTTGGAATTTAGAATACGCTAAATAGATATCCAATCAATGATGCACATAAATATAATTTGACGCAGATGGTCTCAATCGTGACAGTGACAGTACTTTCACAATGTCAACTGATAAAATGATAATTGTCATTCCAGGTTAGTATTTTCAGACATTTTACCTACAGTGAAATATAAATTTTGTATTTATTGTCAATAAAGACTAATATTAAAATTATTAAATTATTTTCAATTAGAAAAAGGGGCTGGGACAACTTTATTACCAGGTTTTGTCGTTCGCGAATCAGGTTGTGAATTCAGGAATGATTTTTAAACTAATACCGTTATGGATATTTATATGTATTAAAACGGTTCTTTTTAGCACTACGACATTTTCTTGAAATGTAAGATATAATTGATACCAGCCTCATATCTATTGTAATCATTGATTTTAATGAATTAGATTCTGAATCTGATTGTGGATTGTTTGAGATATAATATTCATTTTTGTTATTTATAAAAAAAAAGGAAATCTTACATTCGGTGTCTTGGTTTTTAACTAAACTCTATTAACACTATTTCATCTGGATACCGGAACTGGTAGATTAACTCAAAAATCAACTGCTTCACTATTTAAGCTATTATCACTATTTAATGATAAATTTTAACAAAATTAAATTATTGGCTGCCACAGAAACCTATCGAAAAATTATTTATCCAAATATGACTAATTTCAATCGATGTTATTTTATCACAGAAATGTTTGCTTTGATGCCTTGCAATTGCCAGTAATTTTTTTTATCTAGCAGTCAACTCTTAAAGATTCTAGGAGGAAGCGTTATTTTAAATAAATAAACATTCCAATTTTATAGAGTTTGTAATAAATAATAATAAATCCATAAACAAGTCTTAGCTAATTAAGCACTTTCCTTGGAATGTATAGAACAGGAATCATGACAAACTGCAGTCCCAATATAATACACAATAAAAATTTTTATACAGGACTGGACCTCTATATGTAAATTAAATAAAAATTTGAATTGTTAAAGTTTTTACTCCACATTTAAAAAAATAACCCTTTCACATTTAACCGATTAGAATCCTGCAACTATCAGATTTAACTAAAATGTCATGCAATAATTCTCGACATTCTTAAAATCCTATATAACGTCAAAATTAGAGATGCACTGAAAGAAGGGTTTGAGACAGACTGTATTTCCCTATACACATATAGTTTACACTTGAAACGACCCTGTATTCGATAACAAACAACCAGTGGGAGTTATCATTATCACCATCGCGTAACCAAAATAAGTTCCCCTAACATCCATTGATCAAACCAATCACGCAGGGCCTTATACGAAAGCTTGTATCGCTTGTAAATGATTATTATCCGTCAAGAGCTTAATGTGTCATTATTTGACATAAAGTGAGCATATATTTACAAATTGGGGTATCTGTTATATACGTACGAGAAACGTGAAATTACAAAAGATGTATAAGGATATACTTTATCCTAGCGCAGTTGTACCAGGATCTTATCAACATGTAAGTCTTAAAATAATAATAATATTATTATTTTGAATTTGAGCAAAATTTCTTCATAAACATAAAAATGTATTAATATTGTGCTTCTTGTTCTTCCTTATGAGCAAATTTACTTAATTATTAGAGGATTGATACCTCTTTAGAAGGTTTTCACTGCATTTAAAGCATGATTGACCGATACTTATTCTATCGTTTCGGATTTATCTATTATTTACTATAGTTCAAATATCTTTGTGTTGTTTCTGCATTGGGTTTTAATTTTAGTGAATACGTCATTATTGGTCTTATAATGGCTTTATAAATTCCTGATTTATTATCAATGTTAATATATCGATTTCGCTATATAGCGGTAGTTAGGATACTATATTGTCAGTCTGTTTGCTTTTGTATAGCTGGGTAGTGTAATCACAAGATAATTCATTTCCATTACTTGTTCAATGCTGACTCCATGGATTTCCAATTTACATTTATTGGTTGTTTGTATTGAGTTGAGGTTGTCTTATTAAATTTAGTGATGGATTCTTGTTAGGACACTAATTCTGTTTAGAGATAAAGGCAAAAATAATGATTCTTTTGACGAGTGACGATGAGACGGGAGAAACGACTTTCCGATTAGATCTTAAAACTTTTTTTACTGTTGACATAGATATATTTAGCTGTTAATTTTATTGGACCAAAGAGATTTCCTCTTTAATATTTTAATAAGGCGTAGTTATTAGTTTTCAAAAAAAAGTTCTCCAAGTTTGTATTGGGCGATCTCTTTTTCTTCTTCCTTGAGAATTTCGCTCTATTATCCGTTCACAAATTGTTGAAGCACGAAATGTGCCTCAAAGTCATAAAACGGTCGTAAAATTTGTATCATCATAGGCGTTGCTGAGGTATTTATTTATTAAAATTAATATTAATAATGTTTTAATACTAATATATTTAGCAAAAAAACAATTAAAACCTACACGGCTAATGTTGGTTATTATATTATATTAATAAAAATAAGAATTTAACCATTAACAATTTTGTAAATAAGAATACCTTATCTCTTTGGATATTTCAATAGTAATCCTCGCGTTTAGTCACTTTACTAGAAAACCTGGAATTCACATCCGAAGGTACTATCGGTTGCAAGATAATTAGGATGGAATTCCCCAGATTTTTAATAATATAATCGGTATAAAGATTTGGCCACGTGCCTCGTCTGTTCAGTTTATATTCGAAAGTTAACTTAAAAGGGTGAAGTTATTACGAACGAAAACAATTTTTTGTTTAGTACGTTTTTGATCACATGTACTTTACGGCTAGTCGGTGTTTCCGCGTCTACGGCAGTAATTAGCGTCTTGAACATTTTTTTTGCGAATTATATGCAGTGCGTGAGTGATTTTTTTATTCCATATACCTACCAACATATACGTACTTTTCGCTCGTGCTCGTTTTGTTGGATTGTTTGTGACGGCTTCATCATCAACATCATCAAGTTTTACACCGGTACTGTTGCGTACAGTCAGTAAGTGTGTCTATTCACCAAGAGAAAACACTATTGTCTTGAATGTTCACCATGCTCTGGTTTCTCAGATTCCCATAAACACTGACAAGCTGTGTTACTCTTTCACGGCCATCGTCTAACTTGTTAAACTGTTTGTTCGGGCTATTAGGCCGTTGTCTTCTGAGATTAGTTCTCGACGTTTCGATAACACTAGCGGTTGACATCTTCTGAAGATGCCAATGCTTCGCTTGTAAGCAGAAACTGACTTGTCCGTTTATTTAATATTTAACTATAATAAAACGTAAATAAATATCTTTTGATAGTAATTTTTTTATTAAATAAACGAAATAATATGTTGAAAAATATTAATTGTATTTATATGAAATTATTTTAAAACGAGAAGTATGTTTAAATATTCTTTTAATTTTTACATCTAATGTTTGCATTTTGTTAGTTATGTTTCATGCAGTGTTTAATTTATACTTACTTAAAATAAATATATGATGACTAGAAACGAAATGATAGAGAGTAGTAAATCGATGTGAAGAACCGCTATTATATGACGTTACCTGTGACAACGCCACCTAGTGTCACTAGTTTCGTGACGATGCCATCTTGTAGTGCTATAGTGTATTTTTATGTATGAGAGAGTAATAAAACAATAAATTATGTATGCAAATCCCTAAACTGTTGATACGGGTGACTCAATGAAAAATAGATATTTGTCAACAAGTTTACAGAAGTATATAGGAAAACAATTTTAAATTGAGTCTGACCACCAGGTATAAAAGTTGGAGCAGAATAGAATACAATAGTTGTGAGGGTTACTAATCCCTAAATAAGGTTGCCAGTGTCGGAGTGATGGAGGTTAACAGGTACTAATGAATTTGCAAGAAATGTAAGATGTTTATTTTATTGGTTATATATAACCAATAAAAGTTTAATATGTACCTACCTATTTGAAAAATAAAGTTTAATTCTTTAGATAAAATAAAACGTTTTATTTTATCTGAAATGAGTGCATACCACGAAGTAAGGGTTTCAACAATCAAACATTTAATTCTTTAATTCCAGGAATCTACGACAGTAATTGACTAGATAATTACCTTCTAAACTTATTCCACAGAAAATGTGATAGTGGGTTTTTTCCATTTTGTAGGAAGGTCCAAGTGGCGTATTCAAAATTCTTAACAGTTCACTAAAAGTAGGTACTTCAGTTGCAAGGTGCAGTTTATTGTGTATACTAGTATTATGGAAAATTTGAAAGTGCCGTGTAAACGCCGAAAAATTGGTCCTTTAACAGTTAGTGAAAAAACATTAATATTTAATTGTTTTAAATCATTTACAGACAAACGTTTATGTGAAAGTGTTGATGAGACCGTTGAGTTAGTTAGCAGTACACTTGGTGTTGGGAAATCTACGATTTACAGAGTTATTAAAGAAGAGAAATGTGGTAGTTTTCAAATGCCACGTAATGCTCCAGGGAAACCAAAATTTTAAATAGAATATCATTTTAAAGAAGGACTTCGACGGAAAGTGCATGAATTCTTCTTTAGACAAGAATTTCCAACATTGGATAAAGCTCTTGTCTCAGTTCGAGATGATAAGGATTACCCAGAAATGAGTCGAAGTACGTTATGGAAACTTTTAAAAGAAATAGGCTTCCGCTGGAAAAAGAATCCCAGAAAGTCTATTTTATTAGAAAGAAGCGATATTGTCATATGGAGAAGACATTTTCTAAGAACCATAAAGGAAATGAGAAACCAAAAAAGAAAAATATTTTATCTTGATGAAACATGGATCAACGAGGGTCATACACCAAATAAATTTTGGCAGGATGAAACTGTTACAAGTCAAAGGCACGCTTTTGTAGATAACTTAGCTACTGGTTTAAACCCACCATCAGGAAAGGGACGCAGGCTGATAATAGTACACATTGGCAGTTCAGACGGTTTTGTTGAAGGTGGTTTATTAACTTTTGAATCAACTCGTATCGGTGACTACCATGAAGACATGAATGCTGATGTCTTTTAGGAATGGTTCGAACAAATGATAGATCTTCTTCCTAAGAACTGTGTAATAGTAATGGATAATGCAAGTTATCACTCCAGACTTATAGAAGGACTGTCCACAACCAAGTGGTTAAAAAAAGAGTTGCAGAATTGGCTGAGTTCAAAAAATATTACGTACCATCCCGGATCTATAAGAAAGGAACTTTATTCGTTGTGTGCCCTTCATAAAGAAAAATTTAAAAAATACGAAATTGATGAAATTGCCAAAAATCGTGGAATGACAGTACTTAGATCCCCACCATATCATTGTGAATTAAACCCGATTGAACTGGTATGGGCACAGATAAAGAGTGAAGTTTCAAGAAAAAATACCACTTTTAAAATTCATGATGTTAAACAGTTGTTTTTGGGGGCCGTGAATAATGTAAAACCTGAAAACTGGGAAAAGGCAGTAAATCACACTATTAAAGAAGAGGAAACAATGTGGAAGCTGGACAATATTACTGATAAAATGATCGAACCAGTTATTATAAATCTTGGTTCTGAAAGTTCATCTTCTGAATCTGATTTGGATTTGTAACAGGTAGCTGTAAGTTTTATATTAATATTTTTATTCATCTATTTAACATACCTTAGACGGTTTTAAAAACTCTTTTTCTCTTTTGTAATTTTTAAAAATTAAAAAAAATGTGAATTTTTTAAAACCCTTTTTAATGTAGGCCAGTCAGTTCTAATATAGTGTGTGATAAAAGAGGTCACTTTTGTTTACATACACATAACACTTTATAACACTGAAATAATTCATTTATTTTTTACAATTATTCAAAGTAATTTTTCAATTAATCTTGAGCACGCTCATGGAGTGCTCGGAGGTACCAGTTAAAATTATGCAAATTACTCTCTCGTTCATAAAAATAAACTATAGTTCCGTGACGCTCACCTAAGCATTTTACTATAGAGAAAAAAGTAATACAACGCCAGTATAGTAGCTGTGCTTTGCAAGTTCTGTTTTTTAAAGAGTCTCCTTAAAAGTTCATTTTGTGATTTTCAGGTAGGCAAATCGCCAGGTTCTAATCATCTATTTCGTGCTTTCGAAGCGAGAAGGAAACGAGATGAGGAAGAAAAATTGCGCGAAGAAGCAGGATCCAAACTATATCAGAAGAACTATATGTTTATGATGTATGATACTCATGTAGAGAAAAAACGAATTCAGAGAAAAATACAAGAAAAAGTTGAACAAAAGGTACAAGCTTACGAAGAAAGCGTCAATAAGCGGAGAGAAAAGTAAATATACCTATATTTAAATTACAATATTTCACTGCTTTTTACTCAAGCAGTATGTCAACAGAGTGCTTACTTTCTTCATCTTCTACAATACAACATATTTCTTTTACTACAATAACCTATTGTAAATTTTGTACTTCATTGATTGCTTTGAGGTAATAATGTATAGTTGCCTAAGTGCATCATCATTTTTGAAGTCAAGAAAGATAATACATGAAGTGAAACCATTTAAGGAAATAAGTTTTTGTCGATTGTCTTAGAAATTAATATGTAGTCCTGCGTTATTTGTCGTTCATTCCGGATATTACCAACAATGGAAGACTTAAGCACTTTTTTTGTTACCTTGGTAACGTCAAGTAGTCTCGTTTAGTGATGTAACGAATATTCGCATTCGCATTCGCATTCGCGAATATTCGCATATTTTTGCATATTCGCATTTGCATTCGCATTCGCAAAATTTGTGCGAATGTTTTGCGAATATTACACAGCTTGCATTTAGCTCGTTCAGTATCGAAAAGTGGTGAAAAATAAGTCCATATTTCACTATAATTTGATTTACTCATAGTAATAAATCGCTAATCACACTTTAACTAAAAATTCACTTGTATTTGTGCACGAGCAGAGCAGGGCAAGTGGAGTGACTTGTGTCCCGTGAAATTTTTATTGGAACTATAACCAGAGAACTTAGTTCTCTGCTATAACTTTCTCTCTATAACAAGTCAAATTTGATTATAACAAGAGAAAATAAGATCGAAAAAACGTGCTTTCTACGTTTTTGGCCCGGACGTGACTATAAATAAATACCTTTTTAAACGACCCCTCAATAAACTTAACCGCCTACAATAAACTTCTTTACAATAAATACAACTGTTTCACATCTTTACTTTAGCAAATATGATAGAATGATACTGGACAATTTAAAGCAGTTAAAAAAGACAGACTTTTTCCAATTGCCTACACACCTCGCGCAAATGAGACTGCCGGCAGTGCCGGAGACAATTAAAATTGCCAAATTAAAAAAAAAACTGAATATTCGCATTCGCATTCGCATTCGCGAATGTCGGTGGCATATATTCGCATTCGCATTCGCGTTCGCGAATGTTTAAAAAATGACATTTGTTACATCACTAGCTCGTTGATATGGCTCCATACTACTGGACGAAGTTAACAACATAAAAGACTCTTTCTCTTCTAGGATCTGTCCTGTCGTCAATGTGGTCATAGAGGGTAACCTGAAGTTACTCATACTTTTATTAGTTTCTCATAATATGCCAAAGTGCTCCTTTAATCTTTAGAGTGTAACTAGTAATCTAATCTGATTATTAACAACTCTTAGTAATCAGATTGGTTGGTGGAATTAAGAAAATTTTTCTAAACATTCACATTTATATTTCTGGTATTCTCTTTTTCATGGCACCTGACAAATCTAAACACCGTACAATAAACCAGAATTAGATGTTTGATATCAGATGTTTCTTAAATTGCAGGGTAAGATCTTTGCTACAAAAGTTCTTCATCTTGAAAAATGCAGGTTTGGTTCTCTCTGTTCTAGATTTTATTTCAAGTCAGTGATCATCATCATCATCATCCAGCCCTTTGTTTTCACTGCTGCACATCATTTTTGTCCATTGTGCTCTATCTTATGCACAAAACTATGTCGTCAGCGAATTTAAAATTTATTAATATTCTACTAACAATATTCAAGCCTATCTCTTCCCAGTTAAGTTCTTTACAAGCATATTCTACTTCTGTGGTAAACATTTTAGGCGATAAGGTATCTACTGTAAGACTCATCTGTCCATTGGGATATCATCCGTGTTTTTATGTAGTTTTACCGATATAGTTGCATTCTTGTATGTATTGTAAATTAACCTTGTATATCGGTAGTCAATGCGACATGTTCGTAGTACTTTCAGGATTTTGTCAAATTCTAACGTGTCTGTTTCTTTCTGGAAATCTACAAAAGTCAGATCGAGTGGTCGATGTTCCAAATTCGGTACGAAATTCCGCTTGCTCTATTGGCTGGTAGAAATCAAGTTTTTTCTTGACTTCTTGACGTCTTTTCTTAACTTGAATCTTCAAGACGATTCCTTACTATTCTTCGTAAGGAGTTTGCATATTTTTAATTCATAGGGATTCTCTTTTTTTGTACAATAGAATTACCTTAAAAGACACCGGTTTAAATTTTTTTGTATTTTCTTAAGTATGCAAGTGCTACCGATTTTTATTGCATCAGTAACTACACGATCTTTGTCTGGAGATTTTTTATTCTCAGCTTTTCTTAGGGCTAGTTTTATTTCGTCTATTGTGATTTCCGGTAGTAGTTCTGATCCTTGGTTTACTATGCCCTTTTTCTTTATTAATATTTTTGGTACTTGATCTTCTCTACAATTTGCTTTGTTTTGGCTTGTGTACAGCAAGTCTTCAACTATTTTAAGGGTTTCCTCACTGTTTTGTTCTTTTTTTTATGTTTCATTTTGTTTATAAATTAAATCTTATATCAATATCTCCAGGTTACAGAAGATGCTTTGTGCCGAAGAAAGACAATTTTATAATGAAACCGTGGAGATGGCACAGCGAGGAGATGAAATGCGCATGGAGAATATGAAGAGAACGGTGGAACAACTTCGGGCAAGAAGAGAGGAAGAAAGACTGAAACTAGTCAAACAAAAGAGAATTGAGCAATACATGTATGGTATTTGTTTAATTTGTTTACATTTAAACGATTTTTTAAGCATGTGCTGTATTGTACTTTTATTATCTATTCACCAGTAATATTTTTATCTTAAACTACTATTCAACTTATACTACCAGCATTATTTTGATAAATATTAATTATTTTTTAGTCTAATTTAAAATTATCATTTTCATTACCATCGTCAACATATATTTCATATTTAGTCAATATTACACATTTATTTGTTTGATAAATTCGTTAATATGTAAGATTTATTAAAAAATTTTTGAAAATGATATTTTTAATTACACTAATTATCGTTTTAGAAATCGATGTCAAGAATTGAAACCTACTCTCATAAAAAAACATCTTATTGAATCTAAACAAGTACAACTTCAACAGATGAGGGAAAATGAGGCAAGAAGGGAAGCGAACAGGGAGCTGGATAGAATGTGGAATGAGTTGAATAAGAAGGAGATGCAAATGAAGGTATATTTGTTACTATATTTCCCATATTACTACTGCTTGTACAGCTGGTCCCTAAAAAAACTGATACGATTTTATTTCATAGAAAACTGAGCAATGTTTTTTAGAGAATAAATACTTATTATTTACATACTGTCACTGTCACTGCCAAATCTTAAAATTTGTCAAATAACTTATTCTGTTCAACCTCAAAAAATGGCTTCACATCCGAGAAAATAACTAAAAGCAAGAATTGTAACGAAATTAGAAGATGGTTGGTGACTATCTGTCGTAGCGAACCGTTTTAACGTAAGCAGAACAACAGTTTTTAATATTATTAAAACAAGAATTGGAACCAAATTAAAAGAAAACTGGGCACTATCAGAGGCAGCCAAACATTTTAACAAGGGGAACAAGAAACTCTCGAAAGAAAACAAGGTTTTAGAAGGCCAAAAATATTTACTGCTCATGAAAATCGTACGCTTTTAGAGAGATTAGAAAAGAATCCTTTTGAAAACTGCAAGAATTATGTCTCGGTTGCCGGGAAGAAAGACAGCAGCTTAAAGCAGAATTAAAGTCTCAGGTACCGAACTGCAGCAAAAAATAAGCTCTTACACCACAACAGAAGCAATCAAGACATATTTGCTTTAAACCATCACGTACAATATCAAGATTTTTGGGACAAGGTAATATTTACAGATGAGAAAATTTTTCAATTTTCTAAAAAGGGCAAAATTTGGGTGTATAGACCAGATACTTTTAGCGCCAATGTATGAGGATGGACTTCATCTAGAGTAATGGGAATGGTATGGCGTATTGGTGGCAGGTTTATTGGGCAGACTTATCTGAATATTCTAGAAAACATCATGTTTCCCAGTGTAGAACAGTTGTATCCAGAAAATAATTTTATCCTTTAACAAAATAATTGTCCTGTTCACACTGCAAATATAATAAACTAGTGGCTCCAGAATAACAACATCGAAACCTTACCAGAGCCCAGCTATAGTCCAGATTTAAACCCAGTCGAGAATGTGTGAGGGTGTGTAATTGTATATCTCAAAATGGGGCACGGTATACAACAGGATTGGGAAGAGCTCTCTGAAGAAGACAACGTTATAGTTCCTTTCCGCAGAAGGACTGAAGACTACAAGCTGTTATCAATGCTGATAAAGACATTACAAAATAATAATTTTATTTTTACATACCTAAATTTAGTATAGTTTTGGTCTTCCAGACCCTCGCTTTTTTTCGAGAGCTTCTTGTTCCCTCAATTTTTTATTAATAGAAAAACTGTGGTTCTGCTTATGTTAAAATGTTTTGCTACCTTTGCTGATAGTGCCCAGTTATCTTTTAATTTGGTTACAATTCTTGCTTTAATATATTGGTTAGTTAATTCATTTGTTCTATTCCTTAATGATAATAAAAAATAACAACAACGCTATTTTATGTAAAAACTATCATTTATAGACTCTATAAAATGATTGGATTCAAAATATGTAATATCAAAATGTACATTTAATAATAATACAATTTATTAATTAACATATATAATCAATTGTTTGTTGTTTGTATGTTTATTTTATTATTTGTCTGTGATAATACATGTAATGTAATGTCAGACCAATCAAATACACTGCTCAAAATGATCAATTCTTACTAAGAGTCATCAGTTTTTTTAGAAACCAGCCGTACATAGCCCTCTTATATCTACGTTTCTTATGGTATAGTTATTCCAAAACACAATTGGATTGCTTAAGACACTTCAAAAATACATTTATTCGCGATCAATATGGCCTTTGGTTTTAATATATGGCATTAGTTGTACCTAGAGCTACGATTTAAACCTCTTACCACTTACACCATCAAACTGTACTAGAAAGATTCCAATAAGAGGAGAAGAGAGTCACAGGTGTGTGTTTTTACCAATAATGTTCAATATATATCACCCAGATCAAAAAGATTTGCGCTAATTGCCAACAATGTGAATTTTTGTACAGGTCTTGAATACTTTATTATAAATAATTGAAATATTTTTCAAATTCGTAAATAAATTCAATGATTTATTGATTAATTTTGAAATAATCCCGATAAAAACAACAACAAAATACCTTAAAACATATTACAAAATAATTAAAGTTTTAATCAAACAATAACGTAACCTAAAAACATGAACTTGGGAGTAAATATCTTAATACTTTTATATTCTAGCCTAACAAATTCATAAACAACAAATAAAACCAATCTCACGGAATGAATGTTCATAGCCAAAAGTTCTTATTTACTCTTCAAACAATTAAAAATATCAATATTGTCAACTTCCTATGAGACAAATACACTAATTAAAAATGTTTGGAAAGGTTTTTAAGCTTCGCCCATTGTGATGTCATATCGTTTGATCTCTTCCACTGCGATTTTTTCAGATCTCTTATGGTCCTCTAATCCTAGATAACATTCTCTACCTGACACTTTTTATAAAGTCTAGTATCTTCGAGACTATACCTTCCATGTAGCTATTTGCCGGTGGATTTTCTTTTCCTAATGCAAAGAACCGCATATTTGCCAGACTGTCACACTGACATAAAATGTGCTCTGCTGCTTCTTCTTCGAGGTGACAGAATCTGCACAGGTCATCATCTGATAATTTCATTAGCTTTAAGTGCCTATTCATTTTACAGTGCCCTGTTAGAAAACCTACTATGGCTTTGAGTGTTTCCCTGCCTTTGCTTATTAGGTCTGCCGTAAATTTTGGCAAATGTTCTGTACTGAACTGTTTCGCTTGTCTTTTTCCTGGTGAATTTCTCCACCATTCCAGAGATTTTTGAGCTACTTACTTCCTTGTAGCCATTTCATCGGCTTTTTTATTGCCATTATGACCCTTGTGTCCCGGTACCTAGCCTACCGTAATCTTGCTACGGTCTCCTAGTTTATTTAGGGTACACACGCAATCCCATACCAGTTTAGAATTTACCTCTACAAAACTGAGTGCCTTAAGCGCTGTCTGACTATCTGCGAAGATGGCAACTGAACAGAACGTTCTTTCCTGCCTTTCTATTTCTTTCACGCAGCGATGCATTGATGTTGTTTCCGCCAGGAAAACTGTCACATCCTTAGATAGACTTACCGGGAAATGTATCTCTTGATTTGTCCCTACTATGCCGGCTCCCACACCCTCCGATGTTTTTGAGCCATCCGTGTACCAGATAGCAGCAGCTTGTATAGGTACACTTTTATTCTAGTCTTCCCTGTCTGGTATCTTAGTTGTGAACTTATTGTTAAAGCTATATCTCGTAGCTGTTGCATCGATAGATTTACCCATCACAATACCGGCTTTTTGCTCCTCGATTATCTTTCTGTTATGAGCACCATGCATCTGGCTTATATGTCGCTGACTATGGATTAATCTGTGCATCACTGATCTGGATTCGCCCTGTATAAAGATATGAAGTGGTGGTAGATTCAGCAGGACTTCCAACGATGCAGTAGGAATTGTTTTTATGGCCTCCGTAATACACAGGCAAGCTAGCCTTTGTGTATTACCTAGCAGCCTTATTGCTCCCACTTGCTGCATCTTTGTTTAACACGTCACCCAGCCATAGCTTATCATGGGTCTAATAACACTTATGTATAACCATAGAGTCATTTTGGGGTTAAGTCCTCAATTCTTAACGCATATTCTTCTACATCTGCCCAGAGACATACTAGCTTTCTGTGTGGTTTTCAGAATGTGAGTATTCTATGTAAGCCTATAATAAAATGCACTTAAAGGTATTTTGTTTCTTTGACAAATGAAATATTTGTTCCTCCCTGTACCGATGGTTTTAGGCCTTGTAGTGCTGTTTTTTTTTTGTGGAGTTGACGATTTGTGTTTTCTGAGCATTGACTATTAGTCTCTCTTGTTTACACCAGTCGTCAACTATATTTAGGACTGCTTGCATTCTCTCTCTCGATCGAGAAGACCCAGCATACCAGCCGCACGTACTGATGACAAGATCTCTTGCGTTTGTTAGATTTGTTTCTCTCTAGCGCATTGAAACTCCTCACTTTCTTTCTCTCTCTCTCTCTCACCAAAAAGAGATGCTACAATACTTATTTGATGTAAGACAGAGACACAACGAACAACGAAAAAACAGACGGTGTCGTCACTTAGCTCTACAGACTGCTAAGTCTATGTTAATAGAATGTTATATAAACGTTTATGAATTGGAGGCCTATTTAATAAACGCGACAATAACGGGTGACGGACGACATGTAACAGTTTGACAATTTATAATTATTCTGCATGTTTGGTTGTTCCTTGTACTTTCTTTTTGGCTTCAGATATTGAGCATGTATTCATTTTATGGCTTCACATTTCATACCAGTACCTATATTAATATTATGTTTTCTTTTATATTTATACGTTTATCCAATATTATAGCTTTTTTCATCTTCTTGTATATCTGAACGTGATCCAGGAATTTGTTTTTAATTTTATGCTTTAGAACTTGGCATTTCTTTTTCATTTATTTAGGGATTATTATTATTTCTATGACATGTTATTAATAGTAATAAATTTAAAAAATAGAATATAATATGTAGATAAACTTTACTTTGTATAGACTTACAAAAAACTTGTAAGTCTATAAAACATGTGCTAAAAAGCGAAATAAATTATCCGTTATTCTATACAACTGGTAAAATATTTAAATTTAAAGTAATCTATTTAATTGAAATGGTGTCTGTCAATAATTAATTAGATTAATTTGTTTGAAATGCAAATTTGTAGTTACATCGTTTTAAAATTAATAGTTTATAATGCTCTACAATAAAATATTTAATCGAATTTATACCGATTTATTGACAAATTTTAATAAATAAATTTACTTTTTTATAGAACTTTTTTTACAAGACTTCAGTTACAGTTTTACAGTTAATTAAATATTTTTTAAAAGGTTTTAATAACAATTTTTTTGTAGTTTTGTCACATCTATATTTTATAACACATTATTTATAACCGCTTAAATTGTATTTTTTTAGGTAGAAAGGGAGGAACGCGAACTTTTAGCTGCAAAAGCTAGACAATTAAACCAAAATGAAATACTGGACAAACAAATTCGTGGAAAGCAACTACTTAAAGATAAAGAAAAGAAAGTCATGATGGAAGATAAAATAGAAATGGAGAAAGTCAACGAAGAAATGCGTTTGGAAAAAATTAAAAGTAATATTACATTTTATTTTAGTTTTTATGTTTTCTGTAGCCATAAAAGAAATTTGTTCACCAAATTGAAATCCTTTACAAATATTTTTAAAATCAGCTTTTTCTATGAGAGTACTCCAATTTTTAATAAATTGTCTCCTGGAGTATGTTAATTTCATTCAAAATTAATTATTAGTAATTACTCGGGGATGTTTGAGGTAGGCACATACGAATATAATAACGATGATGACTCTCATAATCGATTTCGAATGCAAATAACATAAAACACCAGGAGACACGGTCAAAATGGGGAGGTTCAATTTTGTCAGGAGACAAAATTGAACTTAATGAGTGTTAGGCACTAGAGTCTTATAATCACAAGCCGTATTAGACTGTGGATTTTTATTAAACGAAAAATTGGGCAACCGATTTCGCTGTTTACAAGTTCCACAGCATCATCAGGCCCTCAAGAAACTAAAGGCTAAATATACGCCAATATGTATACAATAAAAAACGAAAAAAATTTAATTAAAAGTAGTCTTCTTCTTCTTCTTTTGGCATCATAACCCTGGATGGGTCTTTGCCTGTCTGGCTATGTCCTTCCATTCAGATCTCTCTTGTGCCCTTCTTCTCCATTGTCTTATGTTCATTGTTTTCAGTTCGTCTTCCACGTCATCCAACCATCTCGTTCTGGGCCTTCCTTTTTTTCGCCTTCCTATGGGCTTCCATTGTAACATTTTCTTTGTTGTTTTTGCATTGTTTTGTCTCTGCACATGTCCCAGCCATGACAGTCTTTGACTTTTCACAAATCTTACAATGTCATAACCTTTATTTAACTCATTAACCTCGTCGTTTCTCCTGATTCTCCATGTGACATCTTCCTCTTGTACCGGGCCATATACTTTCCTCAGTATTTTTCTCTCGAATTTCCTGAGTTGAGCTTCATCTTTTTTCGTCATTACCCAAGTTTCACATCCATAGGTTACTACGGGTCTAATCAGTGTTAATTAAAAGTAGTACTAAGAATATATCGGACTTAGTCAAGAGTCAGTTATATAAAAAATAATAAACAACATAAAAAATATATAAAAACAAAATTATGTTTTCGTTTTACTGTAAATGAATTAAACAGTATTAAAAATAACTGGATAATGTAGATTAAACAAAAAAAAAAGGTCTAAAAGATTAAAGATAAAAACTGTAACACTACATATCGTCGGCTGTATGCAATAGTGGCACAACACAAAAACCGGTAATTTTTCAAAACAAAGGTTTAAAGTTTGTGTGCCAATAATTTTATCTTATTTGTTTTACTACAGGAATTGGGATTTTTGAAAAAAAAAATAAATTTTGGTTTATTTGGGAGAGGGTTACTAGCCTTTAATGAATTGTAACACAGACTTTGAAATATAAGTCTTATTTTGAGTTGTGCCACTATTGCACATCAACATTTTGTCTTTCAAGACTAATTAAGGCAAATACAAAACTGACATTTTTTTTGGTATTCCTATCAACTGAAATAAAGGCACAATAAAGAATACTACAAGTTATTTGAGCAGTAACGAGCAGTTCGGATTAGTATAGCGTAGTTACAAGGTAGATAAAGACGGTCTTTCTATTAAAGAGTGGTAGCTGTCACCCTCATTTTGGGTATGACCGACAAATTAATAGCGATGAGTTATAGAAGAAATTTTAAAATGGTTTACAGCGTACAATTGTCTGAGTAAAATATGAATTTCAAATCGTCATAATTGGTTTTTATAGATGTTTGTTCCAAATACATCAGCAGACACGAACCAATTTCTATGGCACCTTTACTGCCTTCTTCTTCGTGTCATACATAGCTGTGCACATTTCCTAGTCCTTTTTTCTGAAGTTCACATATAGGGAACTGATATAGTGATAGCTTCGATTTAAAGCAGCTTGTAGGTCAAAACAAGAACTTTTTGTAAGTTAGTTGCATTCTTCTTGTCAAGTGTTTTAGCTCCCGGCTTAAGTTTTTCTCCTTATGATGATTATTGTAGGCATATTCTATGGCTGTTTTTACTTCACTGCCCGAATTTTTGTATTTTTCACAATACTGACATTAATCTTTTTTGTTAGAAAATAATGCACATTAAATACATAACTAAAAAGTTTACGATATAAAGCAATTTCTACAAATTCATCATTCTCTCTTTGGCCATCGGCTTTATAATCATTGTACAGATCTGTCAATATGTTGCCTCCTTCTGTATTTTTGTTTGAAGTACTATTTCAAAAATAGTGGCTCTCCATTGTTGGAATTGAAGAAAGGTGTTTACGAACCCTATTCATAGTTTCGTGACAAAATGTTTTATATATGCTATGTTTACCCCTTTTTTTACAAAGATACTTTCCGCCTTCCCAATAACAGTTCGGATACATCTATTAGTAAGTCCAATGGTAAATATAAAATATCTTTTGCACAGTCTTGTTTTTTTCTTATCAGTTTTCCAAATAAAATGCATAATTATAACCACGGTTTGATGTGTTACCTTAATCTTCATATCCATTTGTTGATGTTATTATATACATGAATCTCAGAATATAACTTCGTTGGTAAATTTATATTTCCCATTGACCAATATTTTTCAAAGATCTGTGTTCTTTCTTGTAACGTAAATTTTTCATCACATTTCAATCTACATGGATTGCAAGATGGACCTAAACTGCGAGCTTGTAAAAGATTACCGTTAACATAGGTGTATTTTTGGCCTGAATTTCTTTTCCATTGGTCCGAACAAAACTTCCTTTTTCTACTTTTAGGTTTATTAATCGTCACGTCTTCTGGTTCTTTAGTCTCCACATTTTTATCAGAGACCTCTGTAAATGTAGACGATACATCATGATCATCATTCACGTAATGAGGGTCCGCATCAGAAATAAAATGGATTTATTTTTTGTTTCCACCGGTGGATGTAATCAACAAATTGTCCAAAGTTTTCTACTAAATCGATTATTTGAAATTACATATACATTAAAATATTATTGATATTATTACTTACGTTACTCCTGCTCGAGATATGATTAACTCACTTCTTTTCTGATAACCCTTTGGATATGACATTTTTAAAATAATAAATTTATTCCTTTTATTTAATGTGACACAACTACAAAATTTTCACTAATATAGTTTAAAAATATCTAAAATTGTCTGTTATAGTGGCGCAACTTTAAAGTGCCGGTATAGAAACTTGATATGGAATTTCACTGCACCACTAAACAGGGACACTAGTGGCGTCCAGCGGACATTTTTAACATTATAATTGTGCCAGTTTTGCAGGTCATAAATAAGACTTTTTTAAGCTCACTGGTGATTTTGGTCAATTTTGTCAATTTTTTAATTAAGCCACTATTGCATACAGCCGACGATATCTCCCTTGGATTATATTTTAATAGACTTATATAAAATATTTTCGTGCCAGAGAACTCACTATTTATTAATATTTAATAGATAATAAAATTTATACGGTTGTATTCTTTCAGAATACATGTTTATTTTCATTTCTTTTCTATTTCAGTATTGAAGGCTAAAAGAAAAGACGTCGAGTCATTGCGTGAGATACTTCTCAATCAAATCCGTACAAATACTGAGATTATGGAGAAGCGTAAAAGAGAAGAGGACGCTATTGATCAAGCTTATGTTCAGTTGAGTAAACTCGAGTTGGAAAGAGAACAAGCTGAAATTGAAGGTATCTTTATATGTATAGGTGACGATTAAACTTATAAAATGGTTAATCTCGACATTAACTTTTATTTAACTAAAAATTTTAACATACCTGTTCTTTCTTCATGGCCAATACTTAAATGTGCTTCAGAATGTCAAATATTTCCTTTTTTTACGTAAAATAAAAATTTCTCCTTACCTTCTTGCAACGGAACAATAAGTTTCAAATCATTTCCCACATTCACTACATCGTTTTTGGCCAGGCGTCGATATGACAACGCTGTTTTCTTAGCTTTTCGTTTTACTTTTTTGACTTGATTACAAATGAAATCATATTTTTCACGAGATAAATAAGCACTGTTTTCATCCCTTTTTGTGGAAATAGTTTTATCAAAAATCTCGTAAAATCGGTCTTTCAATTCATTGGAAATATTGAATACTTAATTTTTCTCTTTCAAATAACAGTACCAATGCAAAGAATAGAAAAGTTTTGTATTTTTCTTTTTTATTCCTAATATTTTTTCTAAATTCCTTTTTGTTTGTTCCAGTTTGTTGTATCCAGTTCGATTAAAAAGGCATATAAAGGACCGTCCGATCTCCAGTTTTCCTATCTCGTCACATTTGCTTTTCATCCATTGGTCTTTTGACTCTTTTATCCTTTTATCGATCTTCTTATTGAGTTCTGCATTTGCTTGCTATTTTCTCTCTCTTCTATGGAATCCACAATTGTGTTTGCCATCCAAGGTTTTGCTTTAAATAGGCAAAATGCCTGTTCAGTCGTTGCTATCTTATAATTAGTCATTCCAGTGTTTTTTAGGTCATCCAAAGCTACTTTGGCTTATCTCGAGAAATTTTTACTTATTTATTTTGTACCATTCTATCGATATGTTAACTACATTCCCTTTTTTTTGTATCCATGTATAAGCTAGAACTATTTGGCACTGTCTTTAAATGTCTTTACTTTTTTTCGTATCGTGTAATGTTTTGCCAATTATCATTCTTATAATTTTTATCTTTGTTGTCTTCATTATTCGTTTTATTTTGTCATTCCTCGGTATATAACTTTCTTAGATTGTCAATTCATGTACTCTTTTCGATGTGTTTCTGGTCTATTAATTCCTTCACCTCCACTCTATGATCTCTTATAAAACGCCATATTTTTTTTGTTTTGTTGTTTTGAGTTGCGTCCCTAGTGCTCGTTTTAATTCTTCTTAGAATTGTATAAATCACATTGTTTTTTGCTTTTCGAAAACTTACTTATATTTATATTTTTTTGGCCCAAATCTTCGTTAAAAGTTGACATCTTAAGTCTAAGATGTTTACTTTAATTTTTACCCAGCTTTTCTATGCGTTTCTGCATTTTTCTGGTATAAATTTCTTCAGAAATACCTTGGTCTGTGTGGTTCTGCAGATTTTTAACTTTTATCTTTGTATTGTATTTTGCAATTTTATTCAGGCTATCAGCTACTTTTTCCTTGTATTGAAGACGTTTAACCAAAGGCTTTGGGTAGCATTCTTCAATGGATAGCAAGTTTCAAACTTTAGGTAGCATTCTTTATTAAAATTGTTGGAAAGAAGTAAATGACACTTTTCATAAATACTTCTATCATTTATGTGGATCCTAACTTTTGTGGATTTGGTCAATACTATTATGGTCACTTCCTACCTCTGCCGATATTTTTGCCCTCTGCCGAGTACCTCTCTATTTAAAAGAATATGGTCGATCATAAATTTTTGTCCTCTCGTATTTTCGAAGGTAAACTTATGTACTTGACGTTTATTTTAAATGTTGAACTCATACTTAAACTTTTGATTTTAGAATCTATAACTCAAGCAAGAAAAGAAACTGCTATGTACAAAGAACATCTGAAAGAGTTGGAAATTAGAATGAAACAAGAAGAGGACGAACTGAATAGGTTATTAGAAGAATATAGACAAGCGATACAAAGAAAGCAAGATGAGGCAAAATGTAAAATTGCGGAAGCTAAGAAAGCTTTACAATGTGTAAATATATCAATTTATTTATTTACAATAATTCACTATTACACTTCATCTAATTTATATAACGATGCACGTCATCGGCGTCATAGCCTGTGACGTCATATGATACCAACACGAAATATTTAGGGTTTAGGTGTGTTCTTTTTAGAATCACTTTACCGAGTACACTGGCATTACAGCCACTAGGCATATTTTATTATATACGCGTAGAAATAATATTTAAAAATTTCTATTAATGTTAACTTAAAGAAATACACAATAATATGTTTCATTTAATTTGTATAAATCCATTATAAAGAGTTTTTATCAAGAACATTTGTTCGGAACACACTGTAACTGTAATCGAACGAAGATAAAATTTTGGCATAAATTGGTAACACTTATTTGACAGTTGCGGTGTTGACACTTTTTGTACTTTATTATTTTGAATTTTAAAGTGAACACCTCTTGTTTTATATTTTTACCTATTTAATAAAATCTGTTCTTTTTAGAACAAAATTAGTGTGTTTTATTTCAAAAATCTCACGTAAGAATTTAAATAGTCGTTGTAAAGAGATGGTAATACGGCAGGGATACCTCTTGTCACCCCTGCTTTTTAACGTTTACTCCAAAAGAATTTTCAGAAAAGCACTTTCTGAAAAACAAGAAGGAATACTTGTGAACGGCGAAGTCATCAATAATTTGGGATATGCGGACGATACAGTACTCCTAGCTTCTAGTCAAGAAGATCTGCAAACACTACTTGATAGTGTCGTTGAGAGTTGTAGGGAGGCAGGTCTGGATCTTAACATAAAGGAAAACCAAAATACTTGTAATAAGTAAACAACAGAATATAAAGCCGTCTATATATGTAAATAATACCAAACTTGAGCAAGTTGATAAAATCGTCTACCTTGGACAGCAATTAAATTGTAATGCAGAAAATCACGGCGAAATTAGATCCAGAATAGAGCAGGCTAGAGCTGCTTTTAGAAGGATGTCCAAGGTGTTATGTAACAGAGACCTAAAATTGGCATTAAGGATCCGCCTACTTCGCTGCTACGTGTTCTCGGTCTTACTTTATGCTGTCTAGTCCTGGACTGTGAATAAAATCGATCTAAATCGCCTTAAGGCTTTCGAAGTGTGGTGCTATAGAAGAATTTTAAAAGTTTCCTGGGTGGAGAAGATTCGTAACTCCACAATACTTGAACGTCTCAGCAAGACCACTGAGATCATAAAAAGCATCAAGCAGAGAAAGCTGGAATATTTCGGACATGTAATGAGAGGTCCCAAATATAGATTGCTACAAAATATCATGCAAGGAAAAATAGCAGGCAAACGCAGTCCAGGACGAAGAAGAACCTCATGGTTGAAGAACTTGCGAGATTGGTATGGTGTAGATACAAGCATGCTATTTAGGGTGGCAGTGAATAAAATTAAAATAGCTATGATGGTAACCAACGTTCTGAAAGGACATGGTACATGAAGAAGAAGAATACTTTTGCAATAATTATGTGACCTATTTGATTTAAAATGGAGTCAGAATTTTTTTATACTTTGGCAACTATGTCAACTTCGATCTCTGATGTAGATAATGACGTAAGTCGTTATCTTAATTAGATGAAGTATACCTAATTTAAAGTATATTATCTTTAAGATTTATTTCTGATATTGTACACCAATTTCAACACAATACTCCAGCATTTATCATTATTAAAAAGCTGTTCAAATTTATCTATTTGTAAGCCTCTTTCTTTAGTTTTTGTCAGTTAATCAATTTGATGAAAACGTTCTGTGATGTATCCCGATAGGGTTTTTAGTGTCATACCAGACTGATTTGACAAGCACACAGACACAACATTCAACACTTTTCTATCAATACGAATGTCACTGTTATTATTTTAGTACTCGTTTTTATAACTTTTAAAACGTTATCATTCATTTATTTATAAGCAATTATACCAACTATATTTTCAAGTGTTACTTTTTCATATAAACCACAATTTGCATCCTCCACCCAGCTCTTTTGCCCTTTGTCCGTTCCATCTTATCCCTTGAATGCAAGGCATTTGTACTATACTTGTTTAAAGCACATCTATCATCTCCAAACTCTTACATGCAAGACTTCTAAGATTCAAAGACCCTATTCTGAATTTGCTAACCTGTAATGGTGTTTTCCATAAAATAGGCTCCAGCCAGAAACCTGAACGCTGAAAGCTTTGGGCCTCACCCTCTTGTATTTTTCTATAAACACCAGAATCCCTACTCTAAGGCCTGTCCTAGGAGCTAATGTATTATTGCTTTTATCTCGCCACTAAAAAGACCTGTATATTTTTAATATCTACCTTAAATAACACCGATATTGTACATATTTTAACCTATATTTTGACAGATCACAGATTTTGATCACAACAAAAATTTTAAAATTTGCCAATTGTATTGTTGCTAAATATTTACTCCATTTATTATATTCTTTGATACAGTTTAATATTATTGATTTTAGGCTGTACTTAAAGGCAGAGACGAACAACTGGAGTACAAACGAAAAGAAGCAGAAAATCAATTGAAACTTAAGCAGGCTGAAAATGAAATGATACGTTTTATATTCGAACGTAACGCATGTTTGCAAGCTGAGAGTGACCGTCTTGAACGCGAAGCTGTTAAACAATATAGAGATGATTTGAAGAAACAAATTGATTATAATAATATGTTAAGGGTATGTACTTTCTTTTTGCTATTTTTTTTAACAACTTACTCATTTTCCCTGCTTTCTATCAGTCTTCCTTATACATTCAAATAGATTGGAGAGTGTTATGATTGGTCATGTTCGTAATCATTTTCGTTATGATTGGTCATGGCGACAAGGGGCAATATGTAAATTAATGCGAATAATCCCATGCAGAAAGACCACTAAGGTTATTAACGCCATGCTATCCAACAGATGCTTTAAAGTTATATTGGGAGACAAGACTAGTACCCAATGAAAACTGAATAATGGACTTTCACAAGGATCCGTGCTGGCTCCCATGCTTTTCAGCCTCTACATAGCAGACATGCCAGAAACCACATCAAAAAAGTTTGAATACGCAGACGACTGGACGCTTGCCGCAAGTCATAAAGAATTCGAGGTCACTGAACGCATTCTAACAAACGATTTAAATGCCCTAGGGAATTATTTCCGCAAATGGAGATTGCAACCCAATCCAACTAAGACATAAGTGTCCTGCTTCCATTTGAACAACAAGATGGCCAACAATCAACCTCAAATCAATTTTTTGGATAGAATGAATAGCACCAGTATGGAGAAACAGTCCACATACTCACCGTGTTGATGTCCAACTCAACCAAGCAATGCGAACTATATCGGGCACAATCAAGGCCACGCCCACCTACTGGTTACCAGCTTTGAGTCATATAGCTCCGCCACCCATCCGCCGGGAACATGCCCTTGTCAGAGAATTTACAAAAATCAATACTGATCCTGAGCTCCGCTCCCATGTCGGAACTTCCGCCAGAGACATAAATACGCTCCGTTCAAGACACCCGCCTCTAAAAACAGCAAAAAGGCTAGTAGATCAAAACTTTAATGTAACTGAACGGTGGAGAGAACAATGGGAGAATAACGCTGCACCAGCTAACTGGAACATGTCATGTATTACAAGCAAACCTGAGGGCTTCAACCAACCGAAACGAATTTGGACCACACTCAATAGAATAAGGACGAACTGTGGCAGATGTTCCGACTCACTTTTTAGATGGGGAAAAATACAATCAGCAAATTGCGACTGCGGCGCCGAAAGGCAAACAGTAAAACACATGGTAGAGGAATGCCCGATTAGATCCTATAATGGCAACCCTTCAGATTTCCTGGCTGCTACAAAAGAGTCAATCGAATATATTTATAATCTAGATGTTTGTTTGTAGAATAATATTTTTATATTTACTGTTGTTTGTAATTTATATAATTTATATTTATATAATTATTTATATTTATATGAACCTGTGATGTAGCCATACGCTAAATAAAAAAATACATAATGTTCGTAATATGTTGTAATAAAAAATATTCTAACGTCTTAATTTGTTATTGATTTGTGCCTTTCAAATTTATTTTTATTTTCTTCGTTTTTAGGAAAAAGAAAGGCAGGAACTTGAACGTCAATTAGAGAAAGGAAAGGAAGAAGAAGAACGTTACCAAAAATTAGTTCAAGAATTGATTATAAAGGAAACTGAAATGCCTGAGTATAAACATCCATTTAAAAAAGTTTTGGAACAATATGATTGCAGCTGCGATTTCCCTATACCCTAATAATAATTAAATTTGAAAACAGTTTCAATTTTGTTTTATTTTCATATATGTTCACATATTGCTGGACACTCCCGAATTGCAAATCGGTCAAACCTTGTCACATGGATATTTCAGGATTTAAAAGTTAAATTTAAAAACTTTCTTTAGGGAGGTATTTCTAGGAGTATATTTATAATTAGTACAGTTTTTTATTGCCAAAAACATGGACGGTTATAACCGTTTCGGTTCCATCAGACAGTTATAGGATATATGCATCATAGGACACGACGGTTACCACCGTCCGCTTATTTATAGCACTAAATCATTTATTTTAATAAACGAAACCAAAATAAAATTCAAGAAACAAAATACAAACAGTAAAATGCAAAAAAAATATAATACAAAAAAATACAGTTACAAATACTACGCTATGGTCGCTACCTGCATCTGTTGGTTATAACCATTGATTATAAACCACTACCTAGATACCTCACTCTAAGGTAAAAACGAATTCAGTGTTAAACTCCGCCCACTTACACCTCTTTGCCCCTCACGCCTAAGTACTACCTGACTGTATGGTGGCGACATTCATTGAAATCTTTGCCAATATTGAAAAATAAATTTCAGTTTCCTGGTCCGGCAATTCTCTAGTGCATTAGAGGACGATATAAGGATGGCATTCAGCATTTTCACAAGTAATTTTAGCGTGCTTGTAATCTATAGTATGAAATTAAGATTTTACTTCAGAAAAAACGCTAAAAATTGATTAATGAAAACAGTAAAGGTTTTCTAAAAATTATTTATCAACACAATACAAAAAAATAACAAAATATAAAATACATAATAAAATTAGCAGTGATAAATTGCATCTCATGTAAATTACTTTTTTGTAACTTTTCAAACAAATTAATTTCCAGAATTGATGCAAACTAAAATATTTCAAGCTAATATATAGAAAAGCTTAAAATGCAATGTAAAATTAAGGGTAAAAGATCCATAGGTAGAAAAAGAATTTCATGGCTGAGAAACTTAAGAGAGTGGTATAGTTATATATTTTCTCAATAGATATATTTTCTCAATAGATCAATAGATATTTTCTCAATAGATATTTTCAGAGCAGCCGCCAATAAAGTACGGATAGCTGTGGTGATGACCAACCTTCGATAGGAGAAGGAACTTCGACAAGAATAGGATATAAATTTTGTTCTAATAGTAACATTGTACTACAAAAAATTGATAATTTATCTAGAAATGGCAATATAGAAGTCAATTATATTCTGTGCAAAATAAGAAATTATTTCTTGTTCTCAAGAAGTACTTTCATTATTGACAATATCGAAACATTTTATTATTAAAAGTCGAGAAGAATTTTCTGAAGAAACGTACATATTTATATAAAAGTGCTATAAAAATGTTCCACTGCAAAATGATGCTAGCAAATTACCCTCTGTTTTAGGTCACTGATATCCATCAATATAATATCAATATTCCCGCAGTTTTTTTGCCAAATTTTTGTGCGCTCTACGTCTTTCAGGGGAAATTTAAAGATAGATATATTCTTATTTGTTCCATCGTTTCTTTCAAAACATCCCGCGTAAACACATTTATGCGTTACACAGGCCATTTTATCTAAAATGTGAGTCCTTTTTTTTATAAAATTTCACTCCATATCTCCTCGCAAGTCAAAGAGAGAATGAGAATCTCGATACGGTTTTCGAGTAACGCCATCTAGTTTCGGATACGTCTTTCGGTTACCACGAGGTGAGCTATCTAGGTAGTGGTTTATAATCAATGTTATAACATTATCTATCATAGAACTTTGTCCACGGGTGTTATTAAATAATATTTGTGTTGGTGTTTATGGTCAAAAAATGTGTTGTTTATTCTAAGTTTGTTATTGGTGTAGAAGGTTATCATCAGTTCTTCATTTTCGTTTTTAACATCCTCGTCATGTTTTTGCTTAATTCCGGGTATTACTTGATTGCCTATTCGAGCGTTTAAATCCCCCAATATTATCATCTTCGTTCTCACTTGATCTACTACTTGTAATTTGTCATAAAACGTTTCCTTTATTGTTTGAGGCTTGTTAATTTCTGGGCCGTATACTCCGATGATGTTCAGGCCTTTCTTCTCCATTATTATATTGTTGTTACAATTCTTTCTGATATGTATTAAAGACTTTACTTGTTGGATAAAATGCAAATGTTGATAACTGCTAGTTGGCAATAAACAAACAAATTTATTTGGTATACCTAGCTCCTGTAATATTTCAATGTAAAATTAAAATACATAACTTGTCCTACTTCATTATTTACATGGAATTGTTGACATTTATTTTAAAAAATGTAATTTTTTTTTCAAGTATTCTATATTAAAGTTATTAAAACTATTAAAACCGAATCAGTTACACTCAATTAAAGTAATAAAATCAATTCTGCGAAATATTACACAAGTTTCGATTATAGATTAGATGAACTAAATTTATAATAGTAAATAATAACTGAAGAAGTCTCAACTTTTACTTGTTACCTTGAGATACAAATAAGATCCTTCTTAGGATTTTCATAGACTTTTAAAAAAATCAACGGTTTAATTTAAGTTACCTCATACGACCTCTTTATCTTGATCTGAAGAATGATCATTTTATTGGTAACCATAGGCGTACAAATTATGTGTCGCTAATGAAAGTAATAATATTAGTGATGTAAGGATTAGTAATAGTGCATTTTCACGACTCAACAGAATAAAAAATTAACTGGGCCATTTTAAAACTGTTAAAGCTAATAGAGAAAAAATGTAACAAGGAAATATGTGACATAATTCCGTCACTAAGAAGTTATAAAAGCGTATTATACACAGGAAGTTAATAAATCCAATCACATTGGATCCAAAAATGTTAGGGAAGTATATTCATGTTAGTAAACATACAGATTAGGTCAATATGGAAATATAAGACATCATTTGTTGGACAAAATAAATAAACAACAAATATTTTTGCTTCTAATGGAATAAAAATGTTTATATTTCAACACTACTGAATATTTCTGCAGACCTGCAGTCTTGGTCAAGTATTTTCTCTATCCATCCCTCTCGTGGGCAAACATCTACTTGTAAAGGTACTTCAGGTCTGTATCTAGGTACCATATGGTCAGAAATCATACACTCGGTATCCCTGATTTCATTTACTATGTTAATTTATCTTATCTAATCATTAGATAACACAATAAAAATAAGAACGTTACAATATCTGGGACACGTAATGAGGGGACAGCGATATGAACTGCTAAGGCTGATAATACAGGGAGAGATAAGAGGAGGAAGGAGTATAGAAACAAGGAGAGTCTTATAGCTGAAGAATTTAAGAGACTGATTTAAATGCAGTTCTATAGAACTTTTTAGAGCAGCAGTAGATAAAGTAAAGATAGTGATGATGATATCCAACCTCTGATTGGGAGACGGCACTTAAAGAAGAAGAATCATTAGATCATTAGGACCCAGGTTCTTAGTGGATGACGACTACAATTCATACGATGTGGTGAAATAAATATAACTAAAATATCAACAAACATACAGATTAACTTACTGTCCAAGCGATTGAAATATACTGCCCGATTTACTTGACCTATTTATCTGTAAACGAATACCAAAAAAATACCTGCACATAGAATCTAATGAAAAGCTGTCGTCAGATTATTTACCAATCATTGCAGCAATAATGACAAATCCATCAGAAAAATTCCTACCTTCAAGATTAACGATTAAAACAACAGACTGGAGTATTTCCCAAAAATCCAACAAGAAAAATAGACCTAAAAATCCCACTAAAACAACTACAAGAAATAGAAATAGCAATAGAAACATTAACAAAACAAATACCCGAAGCTGCATGGGAATCTACAAAACATAACTTTGAATGAAAACAGTTCCATAGGGAGTCAAGTTCATAAAAAATGTCATTAAACTCGTTCACTTCAAGACAAAACCAAATTGAACAGAATGCATAGAGGAATAAAACAATTACTAAAACAACATAGGAACGCCAATTCCCAACAATATCTAGAAAATCTCACACCTAACCCAGATAGTGATTACTTATTATGGAAGGCCACAAATAAGCTGAAGCTGCAACAAAACCAAATTCCACCTATCCGAACAGAAGATTTAAAATGGTTAAAGGCAGATCAGGAAAAAGCAGACCCTTTCGCAAAACACTTAGAAAAGGTATTTCAGCTGCTAACAAATAAGACAAATGAAGATGACTTCTATGAATATTTAGGAATGTATAATCAATATTTACCATTCACCCAAATGGGCAACTCCTAACTGAGTAATAAGTCTAATAGAAAACCTCAATAAAAAAAGTCGCCTGGACACGATCTGACAATGGTCAACATATTAACTAATCTTCCCAGAAAAGAAATAGTTAGTCTAACACAAATCATAAACTCGATACTAAGAACAGGCTACTTTGCTGTACAATGGAAGTTAGCAGAAATTATTACGATTCCAAAAACAGGAAAATCTTCACATGATATTAACTTCACATGAACTAGATAAGGGTGGTAAAACAATACAATAAGCCTTCCAGAAAAAGAGCTTTTGCAATGCAATTTTCCTAGATGTTAGTGAAGCATTTGACAAGGTCTGGCATCCAGGAGTACTATTCAAACTGAAGAAAGCAATATCTTAACCGCTTTGGAACCAATTCTCTTTACAATCACAGTCAATACAGCTACAATCGCAACATTCTCAGATGACACTGCAATTCTGGTCAAAAACTCTGATCCCATAAAAGCAGCTAAAATGTTACAATGAAATAAAAGAAAAAAAATCAACTAAGCTGGTATAGTCTGGTCACTATTAAAGTAAAGTAGTAACCACTCTATTGGTTACTCGTTCTATATGCTGATTTCAAGTTAGCTCAAAGTCTAATATTCTTCTTCGCCCACTTTACGAGCACTCTGAATATAGGCATCTATCTTATCCTGTCCTGTGCTATTTGAAATCAACTACGACAATATCGAGTATTGTCAGTTCCATTGATCTTTGCATAACTGTTAATAAATTTGAATTAATAATATGCAAATTACAAATAGTAATTCGGAGGAAAAATGGGAGAAAATCGAACTACCGTCAATGAAGAGAAATCAACAGCTGGTACGGATTTTTAGTCCATGGAAAACATTAACACACTATTATATCCATCAAAGAATTTTCACCTAGAGAAATATAGTTAATACTACAAAATTGTCATTAATAAAATGGTACTAAAGCAAGGCGGCTTACGACTCAGAACTTAAGACTCAACTGCGAGACTTAAAAATTAGTCAAATAAAAGCCAATAAGCATCTTGAGATGATGAAATAATAATATCTATTAAAATTGATAGAAAAATACTGTTGAAAGAAG